GTCACTAATTAGATCTTGGTCTTTATGCGGACGGTGAACTAATTAGATCTTTGTCTTTATGTCTAATTAGACCGAAAGCTGGTGGATGTGGGATGGAAACATACGTATATAATGGCAAGGAAGCAGAATTATCATTTCTAGATGGTAACTTAAAAATAACTTGTTGGGCAAACCGATTTTAAAGGGACACGTAGGCCATTTTATTGACCAATCATGCCGAAATTTGAGCCTTCAAATCCACGCATGTTCTGCGTTTGAATGTGAAATGACGACTCGTCAATTACAGATACTCTGTAAAATATAGAAAAGACATATAATAGAGATAGTGAATAAAATACCTAGTTTTAAGTATTTTAAAGGAATTATGTGATTTTCGTACATTTCTGATATATTTAAGAATAAAATCAACCCCCAAGATGGCACACCTGTCCCTTTAATTATATTGAAAAAAGAAAAAGAAAAAAAAATCTATCTGATTCAATTGGCCATATTGAAATACTATTAGAACAGTACGTTCTTAGCTATATACCTTGAATCCTATAGACCTATTAGAACAGAACATTCTTAGCTATATACCTTGAATTCTATAGACCTATTAGAACAGAACATTCTTAGTTATATACCTTGAATTCTATAGACCTATTAGAACAGAACATTCTTAGTTATACACCTTGAATTCTATAGACCTATTAGAACAGAACATTCTTAGTTATACACCTAGAATTCTATAGACCTATTAGAACAGAACATTCTTAGTTATACACCTTGAATTCTATAGACCTATTAGAACAGAACATTCTTAGCTATATACCTTGAATTCTATAGACCTATTAGAACAGAACGTTCTTAGCTATATACCTTGAATTCTATAGACCTATTAGAACAGAACATTCTTAGCTATATACCTTGAATTCTATAGACCTATTAGAACAGAACATTCTTAGCTATATACCTTGAATTCTATAGACCTATTAGAACAGAACATTCTTAGCTATATACC